TTTATCTTATCCATAATGTTCTCTTTAAATATGAGAACCGAAATAGAAAGTTTGTGGGTATTTGCTCTTGCATCAAAATTTAACATTGTCATGCAAGAACATTTTATTTCTCTTCTTGTCGCCATAGCCATCACTTGGTTTACCTTAACCATCGTGTTCTGGTCTACGCCTGGTGGACCAGCTTGGGGAAAATACTTCTTCACTCGCCGGTTTACTTCTAACCGAAAAACCAAGAATCACATACCCGGTCCGAGAGGGTTTCCACTTGTGGGAAGCATGAGCCTAAGGTCAAGCCACGTGGCTCATCAGCGCATAGCCTATGTGGCTGCGGTGAGTAACGCCAAGCGGCTCATGGCGTTTAGTCTCGGTGACACTAAGGTGGTGGTGACGTGTCATCCCGACGTGGCAAAGGAAATACTGAACAGTTCTGTTTTTGCAGACCGGCCGGTTGACGAAACCGCTTACGGTTTGATGTTTAACCGAGCCATGGGATTTGCTCCAAACGGTGCGTACTGGCGTACACTTCGTCGGTTAAGCTCGAACCATCTTTTCAACCCGAAGCAAATCAAACGCTCGGAGGAGCAGAGACGAGTGATCGCGACTCAGATGGTGAATGCGTTTGCACGTAACGCTGAAACCGCGTTTGGAGTGCGCGATTTGCTCAAAACCGCGTCGTTGTGTAACATGGTGGGATTGGTTTTCGGGAGAGAGTACGACTTGGAGTCTAATAACAACGTCGAATCGCAAATTTTGAAGGGTTTGGTTGAAGAAGGCTATGATCTTCTTGGTACGCTAAATTGGACCGACCATCTTCCTTGGTTAGCCGGTTTAGATTTCCAACAAATCCGGTTCAGGTGCTCTCAGCTTGTACCGAAAGTAAACCAGTTATTGAGCCGAATCATTCATGAACACCGTCCTGCCACGTGTAATTTTCTCGACGTGTTACATTCTTTTCAAGGTTCCGAAAAATTATCAGAATCGGATATGGTCGCTGTTCTTTGGGTAAGTATTTTTTTTAACTCTATAT